CTTCCTTCCTTCCTTCCTTCCTTCCTTCCTTCCTTCCTTCCTTCCTTCCTTCCTTCCTTCTTTCTCTCTCTCTCTCTCTTTCTTTCTTTTTTAAAACTTGTCATGTTTGGTTGACTCTAGGTCTCTGGTCTATCCATTCTCTGGTTCCTGGCCATTCAAGGAGTATCAGGCATGGGCTCCCTCTTGTGGATTGGGCTTTAAGTTAAATCTGATGTTGGTTGCCCGCTCCCACAGGTTCTGCAACTCAGTTGCCCCAGCACATCTTTCAGGTAGGGCAGATTGTAGATCACATGTTTTTGTGGCTGGGTTGGTGCCCACGTTTCTCTTTTGATAGCCTGCAGAGTACTTTCCCACACCAAAGAGACCAGAATATAATAACGGCTAAGGGACTATATTTACTTTTTTTTTTTGGAACTACTGGAAAGACATTTATTCTTTTGATAAAGCATAGAAAACTGGGTGAATTGCACATCACACTTGACAAGATTGAAGTCTGTGTCAGATGCATCCGTTGCTATATTGCTATATTCATGAGTGATTTTCGGGTCTGTGATTCCATTATTTTATAGTTCAGTATGACAATTACTTCAGCGGGGTAGCTAATTAATTTTTAACATTCTGTTTGGTTTTTCTTCCTTTTGTCCAGTTACCCTCAACCTTGGGATTCTTGACATTTTCCTTCTACCATGTTTCTCTGAGACCCAGTTTCACTATACAGTCCAGGGTGATGACCCTCCTGCTTCTATTTCTCAACTGCTGATATATTTACTTTTATTGTGAAAATTGGCAAGAAAATAGAAAGCAAGGTTTGGGTTCTACATCTCAGATGTCTGTGTAGGGAGGAGAGAGCTGATTAAGGCACTGTGTGTGATGCATGAAGTGTCTCTAAGGTATGGGGGTACTTAATAATTAATTAAGAATACTTACCTAGAACTGGAGAAATGTCTCACAGGTTAAGATCGCTGGCTGCTCTTCCAGAGGTCCTGAGTTCAATTTTGGGTTAATCACAAGGTGGCTCACAACCATCTCTAATGAGACCTGGCCCTCTTCTGGCCGCAGGCATATATGCAGGCAGAACTCTATACATAATAAATAAATCTTTTTAAAAAAGAATATTTATCTGTTTTTTAAATAACTTAAGCCCTCGACAACACACACACATACACACACACGCGCGCGCGCGTGCAGCTCTTAAAGGGAATAAAAGATAATTTATTCTGGAGCCATGCCGAGTGGCCTGGGAGCACAGATTTAGGTTACCCAAACTCCATGTTCCAACACGGAAGCAGTTTTATAGTTTTACAGAACAAAGAAAGTCATGACTCAAGGCAAATTGAAAATACCTTAGTGGGTTCACCAGAGAGGTGGTTACAAGAAGATGAGGGAAACTTTTCTGCAGGCCCACGATGCTGTCTGACGACATTCTTTGGTTTTGGGCTGGAAGGCGCTAGTGGTCCACGATGTTATTAGGTTCCAAAGATCTCTATATTGTAGTCACAGGATGTTAGTTCAGACAAGGAGGTGGACAAGGGGCTAAAGCTAGCTCAAAAGAAGGTAATTAAGCTTTGGAGAGATTATTCCAATCTCTCCTCAGTACTGTAGTTCTGGCCAACCGACCAGCGTCTTTCCAGGAGTTCCTGTTCACACACCTATCGGCATGCAACATAACGTCGTTGATAACTGCGTTTCCCTCTAAGCACGGGACACATCAGATGATGCCAAATCAACTGCCTGGGCTTGGAAGGTAGCACACCGGAAACTGACGCTACAGTAACACCAGTATCCTGGGTGGCATTGTGACATGACATTGTCATCTATAGAGTTGACACCCCAGAACTTAGCGATTAAGTTATATTAAAAAAAAAAGTCGCGAAGTTCTCATGATGTTTCACCCGGAGGGATCTTGTTGGGCCGCATTCATAGCTTCCTGGGTTGGACAGCCTGGCATCAGACCACATTTTCATAAAAGTAGATTAGTTTGGTCTTCCAGGTTTTGTCCTGCATGTGGTCCCTCATTGGTATTCCTGTTCCCTTTCTCTTCTCTCTCCTTCCCTTGGGTCAGTTGTCTTCTTGCCCATTGGGCAGTACCTAGAGGCAGCACTTCTCAACTTTTACGTATAAAGAGGGGTTGTTTAGGGATCTGGCTAAAGGGTCCCACATTTCTGTCCAGTCCCAAGCTTGTTGCGGTTCCTCTGACACACTTTGGGTTCAGAGTGGGGAGAGGATCTATGTGCAAGATTTGGAGGCGGTGTCCTGGGTTTGGGTTCAAATGTGATTCTTTTTTTTTTTTTTTTTTTTTTTTTGAGTATGCCCGAGGACAGGATAATCTTGCCAGTAAAATGAGCAGCTTCACACTACTACTACGCCAGAGACAAGGAGTAGCCTGGTCAGGATCCAGGATCTTCTGTGGGGCGGGGCTAAAGCCGGGGGCGGGGCTAAAGCCGGGGGCGGGGCGCTGCGTCCGTGAGCGTGCGCCGTCGGGGTGCGCAGGTTTCAGGTAAGCACCTGGCTGTGTGTCCAGAGCTCTCGTGTCCTCAGCGTGGGGCGCGTGGGGTCTTGTGTGACATTCTTGGGTCGGGGAGGACTCGAGCGTGACCGTCCCGCTCGTGCAGGGGCGCGGGGCAGGCTCGAGCGTTTCCGGGTAGCCGAGCGCCGCGGCGCCTGCTGGGACCTGGACCCCGGGTAGGGCCGGGCACTCGGTTTTGGAGCTGTCCGGGGCAGTAGGCCCAGGTCACAGCGCCGCTCCCCCGGCCGCCGGCTCCCCATCCCCGGGGTCCATCCTGGAGGTCACGCCAGGCTGCATCACCTGCGTCCGGTTTCTTCCCTTACCTGGGTCAACTTTGGAGGACACGCGGGGCTGCTTCCCCTGCGTTTCAACCTGTGCAAGACGACCCCATGCTCTTTTTGGTCTCCCTGGGCCGTCTTGTCTGGTCAGGTGTGCCCCGATGACTCACGGAGTTTATTATTAAGTGGAACCCTCCCCAAGGGCCTTGGAATGTTACAAGTCCATCTGTTCTTTAATTAATTTTTTTAAGAAAGTAAACATTGCATTACATAGCGGTATTTGAACTGTTTGAAACCTTAGCATCGCTCTTTAGCAATCAAAAAAGATTTTACTCAGATTAAGCTATGGAACAGGCTGCATAACTGGGCAGATGTGCCGTGTCCTCTCCTCGTCTCAGCCCTGGAACATTAAAAACAGCCTTGAGAATTTGGTGCTGAGCATGACTGTCCATGATGCAGATTATTGGGACTTGAGGAAGATAGTTGCCCTTCCTGCCCTACCCCCAGTTATATGTGAGTTTATTTGCTTCGTTTTTAAAATGAGAGTAATAAAGTTTAAGTCTTTTGGTCGCCAAGTGATCCCATTATTAACTTGAAAAAGGAACATTGGAGGAGAGACACTTGGTAACATAGTCCAAGGCTAATAATCCTGACAATATTTAATTACCCTCGCGCTTAGGTACCTTGAAAGAGAGATAAAAGAAGATGGAGGGACTGGATAGCTCTGAACATTATTATACAACAGCCCATCTCAGTATTGAAGACAGTGGGAAAATACAGAATGAGATAAAAAGATGGTTTTCTTTTTTTTAAGTTATAGGGAAACAGGGTAAAAGCTTGACTCCTTTCACATATTCAGCAAGTCAGATTCTTATTTGCTGTATACCTTTCTTCAAAGTCACTTCCTGTTGAGTGCTGGATATTGAACTCGAGACTCCTGCTAAAAGCTCAACACTAAGACCCCTTTCTTGATTAATTTTTTCCATATGGGGCGGGGTGGGAGAATTCTTCCAGTTACTGTAGTTTTACCATTTCCTGGGGCGCCACCCAGTCAGCTACCCCCTTATGGGCCAGGAACTTGTATAAAAACTGGAATGGCTTCAAAGGACAAGATTACTGGGGTGTCCACGCTAGGCTTGCTGAATCAAAATCTGAGGAGTGGGAAGCAAACTGCAGACTAGGGGTGTGCACTGCTTTGGGCTTGATGCAGTCGAAGTGTTCTAACACTCAATAGAGACGTGACTAAGGGACAGGACCTGATTAGTTTATGGTCTCGTTTCACATCCACCTAGCAAAGGCACGAACTGTGTACTCACTAACAGAATAACCTCCCTCTTGTAGGGCAGATTCCAAAAGGCCTTCAAATGCTATTCCTGTTGCATTATTAGGTTGTATTTTAATCCCTAGGTCAGCTAAAAAGTTCATCTAACCTACTTCCCATTCTGTATCAGAGACACTAAAAAGTCTTAGATCCTCCAGTTTTGCTTTGCAAAAAAGGTTTAAGTTTTCTCAGAATTTCTGTGCTTTTTATCCTGTCTTGGGTTCTTGGTTTATCACACTCCTAAGGCATGGAGATTGGAACCTGTTCGGAGGAATTTCTACACCAAACATACCTAACTTTTGGGTTTCATACAAAAAGCACTGAGCTGGGCAGTGGTTGCCCACACCTTTAATCCCAGCACTCAGGAAACAGAGGCAGGTGGATCTCTGGTGTGGGAAGTCCTTCTGTATATGTGTTGCTTTTATTAGTCAATGAATAAAGAAGCTGGCTTGGCTTGTGATAGGGCAGAGTAGCTAGGCAGGGAAAACTAAACTGAATGCTGGGAGAAAGGTGGAGTCCCAAGATGCTGCCAGAGGGGAAAGACGTGAGCTGCCAGTTGAAACCTTGCCGGTAGCCATTTGCGGTAAAATATAAAATAATGTAAATGGGTTAAATTAAGCTACCAATACACTTAAGCTATTGGCCAAGCAGTGTTTTAATTAATATAGTTTCTAAGTGATTATTCTGGGAGTCTGGGCTGCTGAGAAACAAACAAGCAGCATCCTACTACAGATCTCTGTGAGTTCCAGGCCAGCCTGGTCTACAGGAGTTCCAGGTCAGGTTCCATAGCTACAGAGAAGCCCTGTCTCGAAAAAACCGAAACCAAAACCAAAAAAAAACCCCAACAAAAAGCACTGACCCTGAGGCTGGGGGTCTTTATAGATGTGGCCACAAAACTTTAAATATGGTCATTTATGTTTTTAATTTTAGGATGACTCGAACCATGGAACCGCTGGCAAGGAAGATCTTTAAAGGAGTTTTAGCAGCTGAACTTGTGGGTGTTTTTGGAGCTTATTTTTTGTTTAAAAAGATGAACTCGAGTCAAGGTAAACACAGTTCAGTAGTTAATCTTTTCTAGCTGGGTATGTACGAAATGCTCGGTGCATTTCTGGGCAAAATGTTTTTTTAGATTGAAGCTATTAGACATTTTTATGGGTGGGGCACTGGGAGACAAGGTGTTTGTTATTATAGAGTAGGAAACTCACATCTGACTTGCAGACCAGGAGCCTGGTTTTGGCTGGGGAAGGTAGAACAAGTGTCCCTGTTCTGGCTCAGCACCCAATGGCCCTGCAGAAGTGAGTGGATGGAGGCAGCCTGGCCTGCATTTTACTTGCTTGTTTGGTAATCCCAGGAAGAGGTAACACTGACCTAGGTCACAGAACTGCTTCTCAGCATTAGCAGTAGGCACTGAAACCGTTTTCCCTGCTGTTCCTGAATACAGTGGAATAATTTGTTAATTTTTTATTACAGCCCTTGGCTTTTATGATTAGTAATTGTTATTACTTTCATCTCTAACTAAAGCAGGGAACAGCCCCAGGGCAGTGATTTATCTTTAAAGCTAGTCATTCGTCATTAAGACACTGTGTTCATGGGGGCTACGGTTAAGAGCACTGACTGCTCTTCCAGAGGTTCTGAGTTCAATTCCCAGCAACCACACGGTGGCTCACAGCCATCTGTAATAAGATCTGGTGCCCTGTTCTGGCCTGCAGGCATACATGCAGGTAGAGAGAGCACCGTATACATAATAATAATAATAAAAAGACACTGTGTCCAGGGTGCTACTGATGTTCAGTCTTTAAAGGAATGAGTATAAAAGCTGTATTTTAAGATGAATGTATTTTATATCTTATTCTACAAGATTTAGTTCTTAAGATTAGCAAAGGGACCTTAATACAAAATTCTAAGACACTAATATACTAAATCGTGGCTCAATATATTACTAAAATGGCTTTTTTTAAATGTCAGATTTCAGGCAAACAATGAGCAAGACATTTCCCTTCATCTTGGAAGGTATGTTTTTCTTCAAGTAAAAATTCATGTGCAAAACAGCCTGTAAATTCTGTGGTACTTTTACAATTTTCGACTAAACGCCTTTGTGGTCAGTTTCCAACACTAGCTGCCTCCTGAGAGCACAGTAAGGACTCACCCAGTTACTTAGATCAGTTAGTTCTTGGCTTAATTCTGTTCTTCTGTTGAACCCCAGGCTTTACAAATGCTGGGCAAGCCTTCCATCACAGTTATGCACCCCACCCGATGGATGGGAGTCTTAATTCTTCCAATGGAAAAGAACAGGTTCCAGAATGAGACCTAGGATGGCGGGGGACATAACCATGGGTGGCTTAAGGCCGCTGCTATGAAAGATTTTTCCTCAGGCACTGTTCCTCTGTGGAAAGGGCTGATGCCTACCTCATGACAGTAAGGTTGAACAGGACACCATCACACTTACCTAAGTAAAGCATCCACCAAGTGCCCCAACAAGCAGCTCATCACTGTTCGGGGCTTGCACGTGAATAAGGAGCCCTGCTGCCCCTTTCATTTTGTTATCTAGCAATATGGAAGTAGTTTTTCAATGTTAGCTTAACTCTTTGTATGATTTTATACATGACAGCATTTTGTCTCTATAGTTTATTACAAATCCATTGAACAGTCTGGAATGTATGGAGTGAGAGAGAAAGATCAAGAAAAGTGGCTGGATAGCAAGAATTAAGGGTGAGTAGAATCTTCATTTATTATTCACTCTGAAGCACTCATTTCCTTTGCCTTTTGGATTTTTGAGGGATTTTCATCTTCTTTTTGAAATTTTTCTTTTTCCTGATGATGCTCTTCACATCCCTGTTGTGCAGCCAATCGTCACGCTCGGCTTCCCACTTGAGCTGTTTGAAGCCTTGGAGGGGAGATGACAGATGAGTCTCTGCCACTGTGGGCCACTCCCACAGGCAGGCCTCCGCAGCGGGACTGCATCTTAGGGCCGCATGGCCTGTGCTCTCCCACCCCACCCTCCCCCGCTGTGTAAACCTGCTGCTGGGTGCTCTCCTGTGTTTTCTAATATGAGTATTGGACAAATGAAACAGTATGGAAGGGCTTATACTGAAAAGATTTTTCTTTTCTATTTTTATGAAAAAATAGAAATTAATAACATCAGAAATTTAAAAATGTCTTCAAGCATGTAAGAATAAACCTTTAGCCAAGTCAAAATAAAAGACTGACTCTCCAAGAAAAAAAAATGTTTTGAGTCTGTAGTCTATTTGTGTGGTTTAAATGTCTTGCTACGTGACAAGCAAGTTTCCTGCCACTTAGGGACATCCACAGGGAAATACCTATTAAAACGCTTGACTGACAAACTCAAAGGCAACCTGGTAGTGTAACTTGTAATCCTATTGCTTGCAAGGTGGAGAATCAAGCTCTCAAGGCCAGCCTGAGCTACTGAGTGAGTTTAAGGAAGCCTGGGTCACACAACACCCGACGGGGTGGGGGCGTGGGGAGACAATTTACTTACTTGCATTATCTCTGTTAGCCATGGCGTTCATGCCAATATTATCAAACTTGGATCCCATGTTTTCATCCAACAGATGGCCAAACTTAACAGGGAGAAAAAAAGAAACGTGAGGAAGGTTACGAGAAAACCTGAAGAGTGTAAATAGCTACTCTCTAGTCATCGCGTTAGCGTTACCTCTTCAGCAGAGACAAACAGGCTGGAGTCATCGAATCTTTTCTTCTTTTTCTTTGATCCTAAAAAAAAAAAAAAAAAAAAAAATTGTGTGTAGGTTATTCAAAGTATGTGCCTTTTTTCAGATTTGGTTGCTGTTCAGGATTTATCCTCAGAAGAAACCAACAGTATCGCTCAGGATTAAAATCTCACAGGCGACACGGATGGAGTTCGTAATATGCGAAGCAAACTATACATTATAATTCAGGTCTTATTCTTTGGGCTTGAAAAGCTAACTGACAATATGTTCATTGTGTTATCAATAAATGTTTGTTTATGCTACTGAAAATAAAATATCTAATAAAACTCACCTATAGTTTAATCTATAAACATTTCAAGGAAGTTAAAGTGTAGAGCAGTTAGCGCTCACACGTAACTGGACTCTATAAGCATGACTGAAAAGACCATCTGGAGATACTTACCACGAGAGGGAAGAACTTGCGACAAAACCGGGATGCATGTGAGAAACAGGTTTTCATGTTAAAAAACCCTATTATCCACCTTTCGTGGCTGGGGAGATGGTTTAACGGGCACACGAGCCTTACAAGTGTGTCGGTCAGAGTCCAGATCTCCAGAAGTCTTGTAAAAACCTACTGCAGTGGCTGTCATCTCTGTGATGTGAGGTAGGAGGCAGAGACAGTGGGTGCCTAGGACCTCCTGGAGCAGTTAGCCTGGCCTATCTGGTGAGATTCCAAGCCTATGAGAAACCTTTGTCTCAAACAGAAGGTGGAAGATGCCCGAGGACCGATGCTTTAAGAAAAAAACCTTTTAAATGGTATCAAACCAATTTTTAAACATGTATTTCCCAAAAAAGTAACTGATAATACTTTTCATGTGGCGGATGCTATGATTTGAAGAAATTAAATGCATTTTCTTACCTTGAAACGACCCAGCAAAGTCAATATCATCTTCATTCTTTCTCTTGCTTTTCTTAGTACTGGCTTTGGAGTTGACTTCATCAAATTCTGTTACCCAAGAAAGTTTCCTATTAAGCCATTTTAAAAATAAGCCTGGAAAATACCAATTCAATGTATGCTACATCTAGTACAATGTATGTACATCTAGTACAGCAGTGAGGCCTGGTATGTCTGTTCCATGTGGGCTCACAGCTCTCGAGTCCCAACAGAATGGGCCTGGAGGATACAGGATGCTCCAGTCTCTAAGAGTGCCTGATATAGTTTGCAAGAACATAATTTACTCAATGACCATTAGTAAGACCAAATACTTCCGTAAATAAGAAACATTTGCTGCTGAGGCCCAGCAGATGCAGAGCAGGTGCAACCAGAGGGCAGTGAAAGGACAGGAGGAGCCCACAGCCCAGACACAGCTGTGGCCACTCCCCTACAGTTTACAGTTTACATTATTCACCTGTTCCACCCGTGCTATAGACTATATGAATGGTGACTTTTGGGGGTAGACAGCTCATCACTCTTCCTTTCCTTCCCCGGGAGTGCTGAGGCTCCGAACTGGACCTCACACAGTCTAGGACGCACTCTACCACTGAGCCACGCCACCAGCCCCTTATACTAATGTCAAACAGAGGCCACAATACAGCGCAACTCAAACTGTTATAGCGATGTTGTGCGTTAAAGTTAAAATTCAACACTGAAATGTGTCTTACTAGATATAGAAACTTATATTTTAAAAAAACCTGTATCTGTTTAGGAATTAACAAGAAAGCTATGTAATTTGTGGTTTATTTTTATTTATTTATTTTTAGTTTTTCAAGAAAGGGTTTCCTGTGTAGCCCTGCCTGGCCTCGAACTCAGAGATCCACCTGCCTCTGCCTCCCAAAAGCTGGGATTAAAGGTGTGCGCCACCACTCCTTGGCAGTTTATTTTTAAACGTGTACTGGATTACCTTCAGTCTCATCATCTGACACATCCATGAATGTTCCTCCATCTTCATCAATTTCAAAGTCTTCATCATTCATACTTCCCAGGGAGACTTCATCATCATCCAGGTCACCAACCTCATCATCACTACTCTCTGAATCTTCCAAGTTCTCCTTAGTTCCTTTTGTTTTTTTCATATTGCTAGAAAAGCAAACAAACAAACTCCACACTTGTAAAGGAAGGCACGGTCTTCTAAAGTGTGCTCAGGAGACTAAGATATACTGTTAAACTAGGTAAAAGAATTACAGACTGCCCAAAGCATTCTAAACTTCCAAAATAAAAGTCCCTAGCCCAGGTGAACTTCCCCTTATGGATCAAGTAATTTCTATGGTCTCTGTTCTAATGAGCAAGAATTTAGGAAATACTGGGAAAACAGGAAAGAGAAGGCTGAGTTTTACCTGGCAAAATCAATGTCGTCCTTTCCAGGCGTGAAGCAGTTATCGTTTTCCAATGTGTCTGCCCGGGAACAATACACAGATTGTGAGAGAGAGCAAAGGACAAGAGCTCCACATTATACCCCGCAACTGTGAGGACGAGTCTCACACAGACCTAGGAGCTCAATGAAATCTCTAAAATGACAAAAAGACAACTTTCATGTTTACTTTTTTACTACGTGTAGGATGTGACGGTGATATCAAAGTAAGTCCTTCCATTTCACTTGACTACATTTCAGTTAAAAATTCCCAAGCTCTATGGATTATAAAGATGGAAACGATCAAGCAGCAGACCATCGCTACTAACAGAATTAGGAGACTATGAACAATAAATAGTCTGTCTCATCAGAGACTTGGTCTTAGGAAGGAAACACTCTTCTTGCAATAGAATTTTTTACACATTGTTCAAAGCACAATATATTTTTCGGAAATAAAATATGAGTAAGTTACTACATGCTATTTCTCAATCTTCCACTATAATCTGCAGATCAATGATTTCTAAAAACTAAGTTCACTAGTGTTCTACATTTTATTAATAGTAATAATTTTATAAGTTGAGCCAACAAAAACAAATTACCAATCATCTTTTCAAATTCTTCATCATCAACATCTTCTATGCTGTTTTCATCTGCACTGCGCTTCTGCTTCTCTTTAGCAACTGCAACTTTCTTATAATACCTAAGTAAAATGTATATTACATATCTGCATAATTCATGACTAAAGACGAATTATAACTCTAAAAGTGTGTTACTGGATACTCAAATGAGTCAAATTTGTATTCAATATAAAAAGTATTTTGAGTTAAACAAAACGGCTGCAAAGTTTAGAAATGTGAAGCATAATCATTTCCTTTTATGGGTTCTCACCATGTGACCTAGGCTGGTTTTGCACAAACAATCCTCCCGCCTTTGCCCTGAGTGCAGGGATTTTAGCTATCAGCCGCCATGTCCTTTTAATGGAGCAGAAGATACTTTCAAGATTGTAGTGTCTTACAAGCTGGTTCTTCAATCTCATCTTTGTGGTATCAGAGGGATGAAGGTGTATGTAGAATGTTGCCTAGCATGAACAAGGCCCTGAATCTGATCCCCAACAACCCACAAACAATAAAATAACTGCACAGAAAAAGGTTGGTTCAACCTCAACACTCATTGTCTAAGCATGAGAATATAGTGGTTCCACGTGACCTCAAATCCTAACAGTTCATCAGCTCACCCATGTTACAGTAAACCCAACATTTCCCAGATGGCATCACACCCACTGTGAAATTATTCACACTAAGTCAATTTAAATTTAACTAACTAGTCAGCCAGATAAAGACACTAAAAGCAGCAGCAGAGATTTCTGAGCTCACTACAGCTTCACAGTGCACTTACTTCATCAGTTCTACTTGAAGAGTCAAGGTCCAGATAATGACTCCTGAGTTACTGCCGCACTAAACTCACACAGATGAAGGCTATGAGAGAATCACTACTTAACACGAAAAAGAACCCAGGTGTGGTAGCATGTTTATAATCATGTTAGGGAGATGGAGGCAGGAGGATCACAAGTTGGAAGTCAGCTTGGGCAAACAGTTTCCAAAGAAACAAAAGCCTAAAGTTTCACAAAGTCAGATTCAGAAACCAAATTTATATACTCCATTCTTAAAATCCTCAAGCTGACCAATTTCACTAAGATTTTGAGGAGTAGCAGAATCAGTCAATTTCCTTTGAAAATAAATGGACATATAACCTGATCTTTTCATAACTGTCCAATATCAATAAAGCACTGTATCCAATATTAACACTCAGACATTCCAAGGATGCTGTACTAAGTACCTTACCTGTAGAAAAACACTTCATCCACTGGTATCTGGCTTTCTTCTTTTGCAAGGAACTCTTTACTATTCACTGAAGAAACAAGACACTTTGTTACCACCATTTCCCTGTGCTGCTCAAGCTCTCCGGCTGTATCTAACACACTGGCAGTGTGAAATCTTAAAAAGACAGTGGTGGAAAGAGGTGCAGTGCAGTAGAGAAGAGCAGGCAGAGCCGGGCGGTGGTGGCGCACGCCTTTAATCCCAGCACTCGGGAGGCAGAGGCAGGCAGATCTCTGTGAGTTTGAGGCCAGCCTGGTCTACAAGAGCTAGTTCCAGGACAGGCTCCAAAGCTACACAGAGAAACCTTGTCTCGAAAAACAAAACAAAAAAAGAAAAAAAAGGAGGAGCAGGCAGAACATAGGCACAGTAGAAATGTATTCTCTTATTATTCTCCAGCTGCACTCAAGGCACAAGTTTCAAGAGAAACAGACATTATTTGAAAAGATACATTTATATGTAGGTGTATGGGCATGGGCAGAGACTGCACAGCTGTTGGATCTCCCTAGAGCTGATGCTACAGCTGATGTCACTGCTGAGATGCCCAGTGGGGCACTGAGAACCAAACCTGGTCCTCTCCCTGAGCAGCGAGTACTCTTAACCACTGAAGGCCTCAAGGAGTTCTGAAGTTGCTAACCCTACTTGTTTTGCTTTTGAGACGGGGTCCTTCTATAGCTCAGGCTGGCCTTAAACTCA